GCTGCGTTGCCAGCGAGGCCAAGATTCCCGCAAAGATCCCACAGCCAAAATTCAGCAAGGGCATGAGCACTGGATCCAGCTGGTCTGCAACAGAGCAAAGGGAATGCACTCAGATAGAAAACAGGCCAGGAACATTCATGCTGTGTGACAAAGAGAAAGCTACTGAATAATTAAATCAACACTGTAAAATCCTTGCAGGTAAAGAAACCTTTCAAAGGGAAATACGGCTACTATTAGTATTAGTAGTACTAACTTTACTTAGTCAAAAGTTAGCACTACTAAAAAGCCTCACTTGCTGGGGAACTGAATTTGACAGAAACTCAGAAAAGACAAGACTGTACAAATGTTGCCCCAGTCAGTTCTAACATCAGAGAAGCCCCAGTTCAGTGGAAACAGAGCAGTATGCAAGACAAGTAGAAGTAGCAAGCAATGCTGAAGATGTGCTCTCTTTCAACTGTTCCCTATCTCACCTTATTGCATCAGTCTTCATTAAGACATCAATCAATTTAGGGCCATTTCTGCACTGACCTCAGCTATAGGTCTACAGTTCTCCACAGGAAAATGTGGATGTCTCACCTAAGGCTCTGCAAGAGACTAATTTAACTCCTGAGGCGGAGGGCAATAAGCAGAGCATGCAGGCTGTCAGCTGCAGGGCAAGATCCAAGAAGAGAAATATTTTCCATTCCAGCCTCCAACAATCATCCTTACCCTGAAGTGTGAGTTTTTTGGTCTGTGTGTAGAACATCAGGTATATGCCAGAGAAGGGGGCATCCCGCAGCAGTGTCGCCGTGAGCCCACTGAACATGCCACGAGCCCCTTCCGTCTGATAGATATTCTTCAGAGCTCCATATACACTCCCATAGCCAAATCTTCCACTCTGCAAGAGTACACGAAGGTCAGTAATCCATGTGCCAGGCACAGGTCAAGGAGCCCTATACACACCCTGAGGCCATCCAAAGAAATGGCAGTATGCACTCAGTGTGATGCCCAAGGTGACAGCATAGAGGACAGACCAAGACAAAAACTGGGTTTCACCTGCCTCAGCCTCTAAAACAATCTTTCAGGAAGGTAAAACATGAAAGATGCTACGCATACATCCTATACAACTGAAACTTAAAAATCTCAGGGTGAATTTTGTGTCATCTTACACTTCTTGCCTAAGTATCAGTGCATGGCACGTCCTGCACAGTGCGTGAACCAGGATGAAAACAGGTCTACATCCCTGCCTGTACCCCAGTGGCAGTAACCTTCTCAAGACAGAAGAACTTATTTTTCATCACAAGGAAGGTGTGTGACACCACTAACAGGGAACTAATTGGAAAGGCATACCTCATATCGGGTCTTCACTACAGTCACTGGCAACATGCAAATCCCAGAAACTGCACGTGCAGTGGCACCCAGAAAGACAGACTCCAAGGCTGTGGGTGAACGGTCCACTAGGAACTTTTGCTTCATCATGTACAAAGTGCTGAAGTAAATCCCAACCCCAGGAATACATCTTGCAAAGGACTTCAGAAGAAACAGAAGCAGAAGAAGAAAGAAAAAGCTAAAGTAAGACAAAATGTACTACAGAACATTTCTGAGACTGTTAAACTTGACAGAAGGCTTTGTAGAAAACAAAGAAATCACTAAAGCTAACATGGCAAAGAAAGAAGATAAGGTAAAAATTATTTATGGCACTGACAGACAAATGATTCAAATGATGCCAGGATTTAATGCATTCCTCAATGGCAGTTTTCTAGGAACAAGATATTCCAAACCAAAAGGAAGTTCGTGCAGTTGCCATCCCATATTTGCAAAAGTATTAAAGTGTTCAGCTGGTCAGGACTGCAAAACCACAGGGAGTGCCATAACCAAGTCAGTGGAATTCACAACAGTAACTCCTTAAAATTGGATATACTCTAAATCATGTGGTTTCATTCATAATTGTACAAGAGTTGGCTATTTAAATCCAGGCAGACGTAGTAATAAACAGTAAATTTATTTATCTATTTATTTTCAGAAGTCAGGGTTAAAACAGCCACTTACTGGAGAGACACCTTTCCAGAGCCCCAGAATACTCTCAGTACGAACAACCCTAAAGAGCAGCCTTACCATCCCAGCACGACCAGACCTGAAAGAAAGACAGGAACTGCAGAGATGACCTGCTCCTGCTACCTGGCGGATGTACTCCATGGCCCCCCCCTTTCATGCCTATCTCTGTGCATTACTCTGAGGTGCTCTTTCTCAACTCAGCCTGCTTTTCTTGGTCTCTCTTTCCAGGGCTTCTCAGTCATCTCCTGTTCCTCACCACTTGTAACACACACTAGAGCCCACTCTCATTAGCATTTTTAGCTGATCATTCCCTTTGTTAGCAGCAGCAGATATAGGCATACACAAAGCAAATGGGAGCAGCTACATGCATGGAAAAGTTATCCTAGGATAACCACACCAGATATTTCAGGCAGAGGACACCCCATAAAACTGCACAGCAGCCACTCCAGCAAAACAGTCTCTCAGATGAGAACAAACAAATGCTGAGGTTACACATTATTACAGCATATGTAATATTAATTATTAAATATATTAAAGTAGCGCTCACAACCGCAGACACTTTCCCTCTTCTGGAGTAAAATATCAATCCTTCTCCATGATATAAAAACATACCTCCTCTTTCAAGAAGACTCCAAGCTCCTGAATTACAAACCTGAACTCCAAACCCCAGCCAGCAAATAAAGCAGAAGCCTACGGAGGAGCACCCCCACGCCCCCCACACATACACATCCCCACCCTCTCACCCATTCACGGCAGGCTGCAGAGTTTGCAGGCGGGTTTTCAGCAAGTCAAGGGGTTGGAAAAGGAGTGTAGAACAAGTGCCACTGATGGAACCACACACAAAGGCCTTTAGGACTGGATGCATCTGGAAGAGGAAGAACAGAAATTTAAATGGCCCTTTAATTAAGGCTGGCACAAAAAGAAATATTGCAGCTGGTATGTCGCATGTTATAGGAAAGGAAGACAAGCTGACCCCAGATGCTAAGGACTGTTTTTAGGGCACAGAAAATTTTGCCAGACCTTTTCTGAGGCTGATTATGTTTTATTTGTGGTTTGTGGGCCCTCTGCTCCTTTTGGGAGATTGTTCCAGAATCTCCTTGCAGTTCGGTGGTTGGAAAGAGTTTTCTGAACATCGAATGTATTAGCAGCCATTTGGTTACCATTTGCCATGTCAAAGGAAATGGGTGCCCCCCTCCCACCACCTACCCGTACCTTTGCCCCAGTCCCATCCACCTCTGCTGGCAGCACCTCCTACCCTTCCTCCCCACTCTGCACACCAAGGTCCCGCACTGCCACGGGCACCAGTGGGCCTCTTCCTTAAGACTGCCCTCGACCCAAACCTGGCCCAAACGTACCCAAAGCACAGCACGGCCTGCTCGGCTGAGCTGTGCCTCCCGCCTTTCCTTACCCACATCGGCTGCCGCCTGCCGGCGCTTCTCGGGTAACGATAAGGCAGGAGACACAAATCACACGGCCGGGTGAAATTTTTTTTGGGTTTTGTTTCGTTTTATATAAACATATAACTGGTTTTTTTAATGGACAACGAGTTTCTGCGCCCCTTGGCACAGCAGATGAGGAAACACGGACAGATCAGAAACTGCACGGCGGTGTCCAGAAGGGCACATTCAAAGACAGCAATGGACCCCCCGAGGCCCGACCACCCCCCACCGCCCGGACCCACCGCTACGGGGCTGGGCCCGCGCGTCCCTCCCCTCCTGTGCCTCCCGCTGCCCCGGGGCCGCGGAACAAGAGCCGGGCGGCCGCGGACCGCGATGGAGGAGGGCGGGGGGAGGCAGTGAGTCCCCCGCCGCCTCCCACCCGGGCGCTGCCTGGGGGCTCTCCTGAGCAGAACGGGCGAGGAGGGCCCGGGGCAGCGGCCCGGTCCGGCCCAGCCGTACCTCAGCGTCCCGGCCCGGCATCCCCGCGCCGCCCGCAGCCAGTGAGCGCGGCGGGCAGCGGTGACGCCCATCCAGCGCCGCCGACCCCGGGCCGGCCCCGCTCTCGCCCGGCGCATGCGGGCCTGTAACCCTTCGCTCGCCGCGCCGTCTCTCCGCCGGGACAGCAGCGCACGGTCCCGGGAGCGAGCGGCGGCCGCCCGGCCCTAGCCGGCTCCCCCCAGCCGCTTCTGCCCCGGGGTCGCGCTTTCATCAGTTCTCTCCGCCGTTCAGTATAGAATCGCAGAATCGCAGAATCAGAGAATGTTAAGGGGTTGGAATGGAACTTAAAAGATCATCCAGGCCTAAGCCCTGCTGCCATGGGCAGGGACACCTCCCACTAGGCCAGGTTGCTCAAGGCCTTATCCAGTGTGGCTTTGAACACTGGAAGGGTTGGGGCATCCACAACCTCACAGGCAACCTGTTCCAGTGTCTCACCACCCTCACAGTAATGAATTTTTTCCTAGTATCTAGCATAAATTTCTCCTCTTTCAATTTGTCCCCATTAATCCTTGTCCTATCACTAGAGTTCCTGACAAGGAGTCCCCCTCTGGCTTCCCTGTAGGCCCCCTTCAGATTCTGGAAGGTTGCTGTGAGGTTTCCACACAACCTTCTCCAGGCTGAACAGCCCCAGCTTTCTCACCCTGTCCTTGCAGGGGAGGTGCTCCAGTCCTCTTATCAACTTTGTGGCCCTCCTCTGGACTTGCTGCAACTGTTCCATGTCTTTCTTATGTTGGGGACAGCAGAACTGTACTCAGTTCCAGCAACTGTATGCTGTATTCCAGAACTGTACACTGTATCCAGCAACTGAACCCCAAAGCGCTTTCTCAGACACGGGCAGTGGGAAGCACTGGTTCATAACCAGCAGCTTCCATGTCTTCCTTCAGTTCACACCCCCTCACTTCCCCACAAAACCAGCTTCTTGTGGAGATTGTGTCATTCAGAAGCCTGAGCTACTTCCTAACGCTTCCTTACCGTTACTGGTAGTGTTTCCACTTGGTCTTCCACATCCTGGGCCTGGAGCAGAGGAGGGCTGGGTTTCCAGAGCATTGGAGAAGTAAGGTACAGAAATGAAGCTTTTCAATATTAGACCCGTGCTAGCCCTGAGACCGTGCAGCTTCGCTGTGCCTGCAGAATCAGACATTGCTTATCAACGAAGCCGGAGGAGGCTGGGAGGAGCATGCAATGGCATTGGCAAGCTGCTTTTCTGAGAATCTGGCCTACCAGCTTGCCGAGCCCCGGTCAAGTAAGGAGCAGCATATCCAGAACGTCATGCTCCACCTAGTTGGGCTGTTCCTAGAAAGAATTCCCTGGGCACAGCAGTAGCCACATGCACAAACCACTTTCTGTCATGTGCTCACTTTGCCACATGGCAGCCCCTGAAGAAAGAGAGAATATACTTCTCTGAGAAAATGTAGCATACAGGCTGGTAAAAGCACTTCATTAGATGTTCTCTTCCCTTTTGCAAGCTCCTCTCTTGTTATGCAGTTCTCTCCTCAGGGGAGTAACTGCCTTATATTTCATTAACTGACTTTGCCTGCTAACTCATGGAAAAGAGGATCAGCTCACCCCCATCCATCCTGGTACCTCTTTCCTGTGCTGGTTTAAAGGTAAACCAGCAGGAGAAATGAACCCAGCTCAAAAGAGATTACAAGTCAGAGTCACAATTTAGTAAAAATAATACAAAAAATACAATTATATGGGCAAACAATTTGTTTTAACCCACAAAACCCAGATGTATAACCGAGCACCCTGGGGCACGAACAGAATGGTGTTCATTGGCCCCTGTAGTGAGCCCCACGTGGTGCCCCTGAGTCCAAAGTTAAAGGAGAGGAAAACTTGTTAGTGAGAGTGCTGGTCGCGGTCTGGTCAAGGGTAATGGTTGCAGTCCAGTCAGGGTTCTAGTGGTTCTAGTCCTCCCCTGGATCCAACAAGTGAGTCCAGAAATCACAAGACCCCAAGATTATATACAAGGTTTGAGTGGGAATGCCCAGTACCTCCCCCAGGGCGGAAAGTTCCACAGTGGGTGATTGTGAGTCTGGAATCCTTGGTGGCCTATTAACAGACATGACCCCTTAGGTTGGGTGTGGAGGTGCTAATGACTCTCCTCCTGGGAGTTATTACACCTGAGTCATTAGTGTGAGGATAGAACATCCTCCTACTTCATAGGCTTCTTAACACACTGCTTATAGCCTGAGGGGTCAGGTGTGCTCTGGGCAGCCGCTGCAAATGGTCTATTGTTAACAGTTCCTGGGAAATGACATAGAGGGTGTAGAATACACAGTTTGGGTTACACCCACACAGTGATGAACTGGTCCCAGCTGCTCTAACTAGGACATTTCCCTACCTCACATCCTGCTCCACTGTGGACTTCCACAGGGAGAACATGTGTCACTATGGTCTTCTCCACAGGCTGCAGGGGAATCTCTGCTCCAGAACCTGAAGCAACTCCTTCCCCTCCATCTTCACTGACTGTGGAGTCTGCAAGGCTTTTTCTCTCCCGTATTCTCACTCTCTCACAGCTCCCGTTGCACAGTGTTTCTGAATCATAGGGGCACTGCCAATATCACTAATGGGCTGAGCTTTGACCAGCAGCAGAGCCATCTTGGAGTTGGCTGGAACTGGGTACTACCATGTAAACCCAGTGCATCATCACTGATTATATAATTGATTATATAAGGAAGCTGGCTGGGAGATATGTGTCATTTTGGAAGAGCTGTTTTGGCTATTTCTTTTGACATGTTTCTGGCTGTGCTGGGGTGAGACTGCATAGGTAGATTGTTTAGAAGAGTAAGCTTAACAACTCTAATAAAGCTGCCAAACTCAAGTGATGCATTTGAAATGTTTCTTTATAGAGCTGGTGTGGTTGGATCCTATCCATCCATGCATTTGGGTGGAGAAACAATGGACTTTTTTGTGGTTTTCTAAGCAAAAAGGGGTTGCAACAACAGTGGCCAAATGGTATGCATCCAAAGAAAGAGCTCATCCAGCATGAAACCGTGGCAGTAACAGCACTGTCCAGGTTTTTTCTTGCTGTTGACCTGGAAGAGTTTTCTTCCTTAAAATAAGCCTCATGATGAATAAGGAGGTGAAGCAGCGCCGCTGATCACACACATCTCTGCAGGGATGTGCCTCACTTCTGCAGGAAAGCCCAGCAGAGGGAGCCGCATCCCTTCATGTTGCTGTCCTGGAGAGATGCAATGAGACAACTCAGCTGTGGTGGCTTTCCAGCCACCGGGGGGGGGGGGGGGGCACGTTCATTCTTCAGTAAAGCGGTGGGGAGGCAAAAGTGAGCTGGGTCTGGACTGGTCCCTGCTCAGGGGTGAGTGCAGCTGGGGTGCCCAAGCAATGTTGGATTTAGGTATAGGATGACTCTGAATCCCTGGTCTCTTCTGCTCACTTGTCTCACACTATGGTCTCATCATGGTCCCAAATATCCCTGTTCCTGAGCCAAAGTGTTACTGACTCTGCTGAAGGAGACAAACTTCTTTGTAGAGCCAAACACTACTTTGAGGCACTTCCAGTGAAGGAGAGATGCTTCCCTTCCACGCCCCAAAACATTTACAGTGACAGCACTGGTCAATAAGCCCATTGCCATGTTAGAGCCAACAGGACTGGGGCTGTGGAGTGAATGAAGACCTCTCAGATGGTCCAAATGCCAGTCTGACAAATGTCACCTCTGAGGTGACACTGATGCAATCCACCTGGCTGTGACCAGGGAAGTGGAACGCATTCCCTGCATACGTTGTGCTGTGAGGACATCTTCCACGGGAGGATCCCACAGGGCTTTACAGGGATCTGCAGGTCACTGTGGCCACCAGCACCACCCTTCTCTCTGCACTGCTGCAGCCAAGCACCTCTCAGGTGCTTAAGGTTCCAAATTTGGGGTTACGAGTTACAAAAGGTATTTTCAAGCTTTTGACCGAAGCCAAAATGATTCCTAGGTGAACCTGGATTGCCATGCTGCACCTGGGAGGGTTTGGCTCTGCAGTGCCTGTAGGATGTTTTCTGCTGAGGGTATGTTCAGAAGAAACAGGTTAAGTTTCTCTCATGCCACTATTCATTACTGTAACTGCCCCTGTGAAGCCAAGCAGTGGGCAAGTGAAAGCAGGGCATCCTGTCCAAGGCTGAAACATGATGCCAGTGGGAGCAGCACCAGCACTCAGGCACTGTCCTGCTCACAGGGTGGCTACCCAGGGACAACTGCAACTGTACCCCTCTCTGTTTCTTGTGGGCACCTGCCTCTTCATCCTCCTCCTGCTCATCCTCTTTCTCCTTTCCTGCTGGCACCACTCTTTGAAAGGAGCAAGGCACTGATGACCTTTCTGATGGGGTTGGTGGCAAATTTTCCTTATTCCTGGGCTTCCTTCCGACAGGGCTTCCCACTGCCATGCAGGACACAGCCAAATTCTCCCAGAGAGGGGCGTTGGGCCATGTCTTTCCTCTGTGAATGAGGTGCCAGTGGCCTGTGCCACTGCTACCACTGATGCATGTTGACATCCTGTCTCCTCTAGCCAGTGCTTTCTCCATAGGAAGACCCTGGGGTGGAGCTTGGCAAGCTGCAAGCAGAGGTCACTTTGGCATCTCTGGCTGGGGGTGTTTTGTGCTGCTGCGACTGTGCTGACCAGTGCAGGCACCAGAGGATGTCCTGTCACAGGCTCTGTGCAAATGTCACAGGCAGCTTGCTCCTCTCCCACTCAGGCTCAGTGAAACACCTCCTCCAAGCACAACATGTGTGGTATGAACATCTGAGGTGTCCCCCTCAGTCCTAGCTACTGCATGGGGCGGCTTGTGAGCCTCTGTTCCTACTTCATTGGGAGATGCCTGGACACTTCACAGCTTCCTAGCAGTCTCAGAGCTGCTGGGGCTGCTTGTTCCTTGTGCTCAGGCAGCCTGTCATGTCTATTTAGGAGATGAGAGGCACAGAACTGCCAAATTCCCATTTGGTGAACACATCTTTTTCCACATTGAATGATTCCTAGGTATATTCTCTGCCACCAACACTAATAAATTTGTGAGTGCTGTTTTAAACCTGCATATGGATAGTGGAGATTCAGCTTCAACACTGTCAGTAACTCCTGTGACAAAGTAATTTGTTCCTGGTTTTGATTTCTAGTTTCAGGTATTTTAAGAGTTAATACCCAGCAGAGCTTGGTTGTCATGGCTTGACTCATGTATAGAACTTTGACCAATATCACTCTGCCCACCATGGACAAAGAAAGCCAATCATCACTACCACATGTGCAATAGTTGCAGATATTCTTAGTTCACAGATATTTACCCCTCTGCCTTTGGAGCAATGGTGAATGCAGGTGGACATTGAAAGAGTTTGGGGGAGACAAGAGACCATTCCAAATGGGAATCTTTAGCGGCACATCTGTGGACTGATGCCCAGTGAGGTACTGTTTGTTCAAGACAAACAAAAAAGTTATGAGATTTGCCTGAATTTCAGTAATGGCACCAAGCTATAGTGAGGAGCAGCAGTATTTAAGGAGATAACACACACTTCAGATGATACCTGTTGCTCAGCAGCGCTGCTCTTTCCCATATATCTTGTGTTGTTGGGAAAATCAGACACAGCTATGGGATGGAAGCCGTGTTGGGTCAGGATATGGTGGCAGTAGGTACTTGGTAGAGTTAGTGGAAATTCAGTGCTGTTCAGGGCTTTATTGTCAGTGAGACCATCCGGAAGTGTGCATGTTTTGGGTGATATGGACTTGGCAGTGTTCAGATTACAGTTGGACTTGATGATCTTAAACATCTTTTCCAACCTAAATGACTATGATTCTGTGATCATTTCCCTTTGGTATTTCTTTCTGTGCTTGGGTGATTGTGGTGGGAAGGTACCTTCCAAGGAGAAATGTTAAAGCAAACATGGTGCCCTTTACCATTGCTGGCTATTGGCAGCATTGGACCATTCCCCTCAGACATCTTCACCAAAAGTTCTTGGAGCAGAGGAGAGGCAGTGCTACTTTATCTCTCCTAGCCAGAGAAACTGCAGAACAGGGGCAGCAGGTGGGACAGGGGCACCCAGGTGAAAGATGGGGACACTTCAAAGACGTGGGGGAAATTGCAAATCTCTTCCACTGACGTTCATATAAACGCCCAAAGTAAAAGGCATACTGATTATTCAGAGATAAACCTGAAATGTTTCCGTTTCTCAAAGTGTCAAGTACAGAGGCTGTAACACATGTCACAAAGAGGAAAAGATATTTTAGGACTGTGCACGGCAGCAGTGAGGACCTTGCCTGTGGCTTGGCATTGCAGCATAAGCTCAGGTAAATACTGCCAGCCTATATAATAAATGAAGGTATGCCTGCTTCTTAAAAATATGTCATATAAAGACAATTTTTTTGCACTCTTTAGAGACAGTGTTGGATTATGGAGAGGAACTTGACATACCAGCTGGGCAGAGGCAGCTCTGAGGACATGTCGGTGAGTCACTCTCCACCAGGTTGCTCCCCTGCAAGCTGAGGCCAGTAGCACATCTTAGAGGTCCAGTTTTGCCTATGGGAACATATAGTACTGAAAGAAATGGTGAGGATTTAGAAGAAATCAGTGTGATTGTTGTTAAAGAAAAACACTGAGTGAAAGTATCTTTGGCTGATGAGATTGCGTTGTGGAAAAAGGCTGTCCTTGAGGGCAGAGGTAGCGCTAGGAGTGTCCTATGGAGGATATCCTGACTGGAGTATGTGCTGCCGTCCATCTTCTTTAGCTCTTTGCTGTCACAGGTACTGTCCAGGGATGTGGTGGTTGCAGAGAAGGCAAAGCTGGGAAGGAGGGAGGAAGAGGCAGAAAGCCCCATCTGCTCTTTGGGAAGTCACCCCATGGGCCGGAGCTGCTACTGTTGATCTCACCTGGGGTGGCGAGAAAGTGTGATGTGCAGCACTCACTGGTGACCTGTAAGTGCTGGCACCTTTACAGCTGAAAACTGCTTGAATTGTGTAGGAATCCTCAGCAAAAGTAACTTGTCCCGTGGAGGACTATTTTTGGCACTCAACTAACTGGAAATTAAGCTTTTAGGAGATGAATGTTTACATGTCAATTTCTCTCTGAGCCCTGCTCCCTTTCGCCTTTCAGAAGGAAACATGAAATAGGACCCCAAAATCCATATCAGGGGCTCTCAGCCCCCTGGCCATGCTTATTTCATTGCTGGTTTGGGGATGCTCACTGTCTCTGGCCCCAGTGCCCCACCTTGACTCAGGAATGGGGCATGCCTCCACAAGGAGTCAGGGGAGTCAGCTGCATTCTGATCTCCTCTGCCCCTCTGGTGCAAGAACTTCATCCCAGATCTTGCAGGGGAGGACCAGTCTCTCATGTTCATTCCTTGTTTGCATCCTGTACCACAGCTGCGGCACAGTTGTTTTGTCCTCATGTGGCTTAGCATGAGCTGACTCGTGCCTAGTATATTTACTAGGAGGGTAATATGGGATTTGGGTCTTATGAACTTCTTTGTCCTTGAACAGGTGGGTTACACATTGCCAACATCTAACTCCCCTGCAGCCTATGAATCCGCCTTCTACTACCCAGACCTGGGCATCATCTGTAATGCTGAAAATATTCCAGCATTTTCATCTACCTTTTTTCCAGTGCTGTACTCCCTACTGTTTGTGGTAGGCCTTGTGGGAAATGCTTTGGTGATTTGGGTTCTAACAGTTTTCAAGAAAATCAAGACCATGACTGACGTGTATCTGCTGAACCTCGCCATCTCTGACCTTCTCTTTGTTTTCTCCCTCCCCTTCTTGGTTCGGTACTCCATTATGAGTCAATGGACTTTTGGAAATGCTATGTGTAAGATCATCAGCTCAGCTTATTTCGTTGGTTTCTACAGCAGCGTCTTCTTCATAACCATCATGAGCATTGACAGGTACTTGGCCATAGTCCAGTCTGTCTATGCTCTGAAGATTCGAACAGCTGCCCATGGGGCTATCACCAGCCTGGTCCTTTGGGTAATTGCCATTTTAGCATCAATGCCAGACTTAATTTTTTACCAGGAAGTAAATGACAATAGCCAGATTAAATGCATCCCTCACTATCCTGGTGGCAACAATGGCTGGAAGACTTTCAGTAATTTTGAAGTCAACATCCTGGGGTGGTTGATCCCTGTTGGTGTCCTCATTTTCTGCTACCACAGCATCTTGAAAAACCTGCAGAAGTGCCATACCCAGAACAAGTACAAAGCAATAAAACTGGTTTTTATTGTTGTAATTGTGTTCTTCCTCTTCTGGACTCCCATCAACATTGTGCTTTTTTTGGACTCTCTAAGGAACATGTACATCATTGATGACTGCCAGACAAGCCAAAGGCTAGACCTAGCTATGGAGCTGGCTGAGGCTCTCTCCTTCGTCCACTGCTGCCTCAACCCAGTTATCTATGCCTTTGTGGGTGAGAAGTTCAAGAAGCATCTCTGTGAAGCTTTCAGAAAATCTCCATGTTTTCTCTTGATCTGCAAAGACTACAGAGCTTTCAGTGGACGCAGCCTGGACAAGAACTCCTCTCTGCACACAAGGTCCTCACAGTCGTCTTCTATTGGTACAGTCTTGTAGAACTACAAGTCAAAAACTATCATCCTGGACAGGTATCCTAAAACTGGGAAATCCTCCCAGAAGGGAATCCACAGAGATGGACTATTTGTGAAACATTTTATGACAGAAAAAGTGGAAGCAGCTGCTTGATTTTGCTTTTAGTGTTGTTAATTTTTAGAGTCTTTTTTAGCATCTTCCTCCTTTTCCCCTAGCACATCCTGCCCTGCCTGCTTCATAAAAGGGTGGTGGAAATTACCAGCAGACTCCCACATTGCCTGAGCAGCATGGAGAGGTGCCTTAGAAACATATTTCCACCTCTCAGATTCAGTACTGAAAGGAACTGTTTATGTTTCCGAACTCTGGACACTTGGCTGCTCCTTCCCTGGTCTCAGCAGAGTGAATTGGCTTTGTGAGCAGGGATGGGGCTTACTGCAGGAGTGAGAACCCGCTCTTTGGTGGGAAATGGTATCCAAGTTTAAGGTGTCATGGCAGGGACTGGCTCCCAGTTGACATGTCTGAATGAGGCTTTCAGCCCCAAAAGAGCCTAGTGAATAATTGGATAAGCAACGAAGAAATAAATGCTGTCCACATATTTTTGTGAAATCAGTGTGAATTAATATCTAAGTATGATCTTGACACCCCATCTGTTACCAGGGCCTGCAGCTTCTTGGCTGAAGGGTTTGGAAGCTGTAGCCCTATAAATAATGCTGTGGGTGTCAAAAAACAACACTTACAGGAATGAATGAGACCTGTAGGAACGGGCGGAGGAATAGTTACCAGGAAAAAGGCTGAAGAGTGGAAAAACTAATGAGTGTGAGCTGAGAGAGTGGTAAGAGTCCTATGTCAAAGCTTTCTGTGGACCTGCTGGCTGGTAAGCCACAGGCCAGGGTGGTGTCTGCTCTCAGCAGAGCCCTGACCTGCTGACTAAGGAGCTGGCTGTTCTGCAGATGCCTGGAACAGGACAGAGAGAGACAAAAATAGGGGTAATACCTCAAGCATCCTGCAACTCAGGTGGTATCTAAAGCAAACAGCACTGGCTGGTTTTGCGTGGCCAGAGGCCCCTAAAAACCACAGATGGCACTCACATGTCCCCATGAGGGAACTTTTTGAACACTTTAAGCAACTGATGTGCCAGTGTGGTCACTGCTCTTGAGCATACAACTGGGGTTGGCCTCCTAGTTACTGTACCAACTTGATAGCTGATTTATATGTGAATGGTTACTGATTCATATATCTATGTACATATATAGATGTGTATATAAAGTTGCACGTACACACAAATAAACACAAATATACACAAATAAACACACATGTATACATGTGTGTATATATAGAAATATCTTTTTTATATATAGAAATATGGATAGATAAATGCAATGGTTTTCTGAAACTTCTATCTCTGATCCGTTTCTCTCTACAAGATATCACCACATTTTAAGTTTTCTAATAAAGATACTGCATACAGTGTAATTGCACAATTCTTACAAGCAAAGAACCTGTTTTCTTCTTTATTTCTTTCAGCTTGTGCATTTATTATGGCCTGGACAGTTCTTCAAAACTGACAATCCCTTCGGCTGCCTCTTCTCTCCCTCTACTCTTTCCCTTCCTATTCCTCCTTAGCTGGGAAGAAGCAGAAAGTAGATTATCTTTTATTTTAGAAATTTAATTTCTGTAAGCGTCTGCCCCTGTAGTGTTTCCATACCTACTGAGTACTCTTGGGCTTACTCCCTCAAATAAGCAGAACAAAACAAAAATAAAATTCTTTTAAACCACTGATCTTCTTCAGATGGCATTTACAATTTTAATGTGTGCTCCCATTTGCAATCTGCAAGGTGAAATCTTTTGCACAAGCGGGCCAGTAATGAAAGGTGTGTGAGAAATACATCTGCCTCATGCAGGCCATGACACACGTTTCCCAAATTGTAAAGCAAAGACCATGGCCAGAGGAAAAGGTTCAGCTGCTGCCTAGGTCCCAGCAGCAGAATTGCAGACAGGTGCAGCAGTACAGTCCCTGCCTCTCAGTGCCCTACCACCCTTGGGCAGCCAGGCTATTTTTTTGGGATATGCAAACAGTCAGGTGCTCTAGAAGGTGAGTAATAAAAATTCAGGACAAAGCCAAAGGGTTGTAGGCTTAGAGGACAGCACCAGCTATCTCCTCTGCAGATTCACAGTATGAACCCTCTAGATCAGAACTCACTCAGCTGAAGCACAAGAGGTGGGAATGATTTTTGCAGCCCCACCACTTTGTCATGCATCTCTTGTGTGAGTACTTTGGGACAGGTGGTGGAGCCCATTTGCCCAAGCTTGCAAGACAATGGCCTTTCCCTGGTGTTACTGAGCATCTCTGCTAGGGGATATCTCCTTCCTTTCAGAGGAATCCTTTCATTGATTGCTGTTGTGTAGCTTTCATTGATTGCTGTTGGAGTGAGGCCGTGACCCAGGGAGTGATTGCTGAAGTGAGGCTGTGACCCTGGAGTGAGGCTGTGACCCAGGGCTTCCCCACAAGGGCTGTAACCTGGTGGTGTGAGGGTAGCATAAACATGCAGAGCCTTCTTTGCAAAGTCTTTCACTTCTCTAGCTCTCACTGGAGGACATCCTCTCCTGCTGCTGCCTCAATACTGCTTGCAAACCCTCCTAGTGCAGAAGTTCGAGAACCTTTCTGCAGCTCAGTGGATTTTCTGCCAGAGGCAGCTGCCTTCCTCTACTGCAGCAGCAACACCAGGAGCTCTGAGTTGGACCTGACCTCAACTTCTCCTCCTGGCCCAGCTGCTTTAAGCTGCTATTGCTGCCTTCCTGTGCGAAGGACGAAGGTGAGACCCACATCCGGAGGGTGCATGGCTGGCAGGACCTGCCCTGTGTAGCTGTGAGTGGGCAGGAACATCCCTGCAGATTACAGAGCTCCTCTTCTTTCTGAAGGGACAAACCTGAGAGCAGTCTGCTGCCCTGCCAGTGTCTGTGAGGGCATAGAGAGCAAAAGACATCTTCCTGCATTTGTGCAAGCTGCTGGGCAGCTTGAGGGTAATGGAAATTTTAGGGTCTTCCCAAGAGCTGGGAGCACAAGAAGCTGAGGATAGACCAGACCATCCTGCATAGCCCTGGTGCCTTTTTACCTACTGTGTAAAAAATACCCACCGCAGTTGTTATATTGGTCCTGCTCATATCTGCTACTTACTTTCATATCCTGATCTTGTTTTTTCTTTTTGCTGAGATGATGCAGGTTAAAAAGGATTCAGGATGATGTTGGCACATCAAATAGTCAGATACAGTCTTGTTCTTAAAACAGAGACCAGCATAACCATTACCTATATTCAAGCTTAAACCTAAAATACATAGCATTTTTTTTCGGTGTTACTAGCATGGAGGGTCCCTTCTACAGATGATCTCTGTTTAGAAGGACGGAATCTTTGTCTGATGCACCCCCATGATGCTCTGCATGTGTGGATGGAAAGGCCTTAACAGGCTGGAGCATTGCAGTGGCATCAGAGGGGCTCGTCTTGCCTGATGGTCACTTAACACACTGTGCAAACCTGTGCTGCAGTTGTAGAGAACAAAAGGGTATGTTTAGGGACTATGCTTTTGAACTATACCAGCAAAAAGTGGGATGTATGAGGACATGTTAGCTTATGGTGTTGCTAGATCCCTTGGAAAATAGTGTGAAGTGGGGCCTAGCAGATTGTTCCTCATCTCAGCTCTGAGCTGCAGGACTGCCGCTTTTAGCACAGGGAATGATAGTCTTAGTATCTTGTTCCAAAACAGCATCCTGGAGTAAGAAACTAGTCCATATCTGGCCTTTTCTGGCATTATACTCAAGCCTCCTTCCTAAGGCAACATGGAGACAACACTAATTAAATCCTTGGCAGAGCTTCTGGCTTTCAAGTCACTTCAGGCCATTGCACACAGTCTAGGGATGAGGATGGGAGCTTCTGACTTGATCCTTTCTGGAGGAGTCCTCCCAGCCAGCAGCACAACTCTGCCTCTTTCTGCTGCGGTACCATCCAGCTACACCTGGAGGTCAGAATCAGTCAAAACTTTAACAAAGGAAAAAAGAAAGGTTAATGAAGGGTATCTGTGTCTCATGCTTCTCTTAGCTGACAGATACCCCCGTGCCTTGATGGGCCTGCATTAGCATGCACAAAACTCCCAAAAGCCCTGTTAATTGTATCATGTCGAGGATAATCCTATTTTATTTTCAGCCTCTTGAAAACACCAATTATTTATACACCAGTATGTGTATATATATATATATGCATATTATATATGTATTCCTGGGGACCCCTGGTGGTCTAGTGGTTAGGATGCAGCACTCTCAC